TCGAAGTTTGACCTTCGACCCGCTGCATATGAGCAGTATTATTTGCCACTGCGGCATAAGACAGCCAAAAGGGCGGCAGTGCAGGTTAAAGAATGTGGAAAATTAATTCCAAGCCTAGCAAGACTTTTTCGAGGGTCATATCAGTGGTCGTAGTACCATTCAATCGTAGTACCATTCACTAATGTGCGAAATTCACCGGTAGGATGAGCAACATGTGACGCTTGTCGGATTTTACTTTTCCGCATGGTTACATGAATGCACAAAGAGTTATTTTTCAAAATCTCATATTCGTGTTTGCTGAAAAAAGGAAATTTGATTAAATTCAGTCCTGATAATTGCTAAATAATTACTTTACGAATGCATAGTCGACAAAATTGGCTTAATTACTGCTTGTTTTTTTTTTCAAATATGGAAGTCTGAAATAGCTGGTTTATGAGCATATTTATATACGTATTTGTGTATATGTTCCTATGCACGCATGCACATATGTATATAAAAGTCTTGGTCTGCATTTATTGCTAATGATCTACAATAACTCTAAAAAAGGTTTAAAAACACAAATCGCTTTTTAAATCATGGGCAACCGTAATATAGCTTCAATAGGCGATGGAGAGCAATGCCTAGTAACAGAAAGCACATAACACATAACTGACCGTAGTACATGACTGACCACTGGGAATTTTTAACAGGTAGGCATTCGTAGGAAATGGACAAACGCATTCATGAGTGAAAAGGCAACTGAGTGGAACAGTTAGTGTTATATGTTGATGAAGACAGAGTTCAGCTTCGTGCATTATTTTTTGGCGCACTTTGTTTGTCCTAAGAAAACATTTCTGATGCAAAAGCAACAAAAAGTCACTGACTTCCTCTGCCAACTTTGTTTATCACTTATCATAGTTCTCTTATCCATCTTGCCTGCTGCTTGAGGGATTCCATAAAAATCTTCGGCCGTTGGTTAATGTACCAATCTTAGCAAGATTTTACAGACTTTTTTGTTACACCTAGAAGTAATTTCCTCCAACTACGAGAACACGCCTGAAGCGCAACTGCTGCTGCTGCTTGTGATAGTCAAGAAAATTTCTAAGAATACGGGAAAAATACGCGGTCGAAAGTGATATTCAATTGAAAAAAGTAGGGTTTTTTCGTCTACTTTAATAATATTCAGATTCACGTTTTATGAAACGCGTAGATTACGTATCAGCAAGGGATGCAGATTAGGCAGCGTAAATCATTCAGCGATTATC